TATGTATGTATGTAGTTACCTGTGTATACCTGTCTGTAGAAAATTACTGATCATATAGGTCGACGTTTACCAGACATATATCTCCGGATCCAGAGACACGCGTTGATATGTAAGATAGTGCTTAAATGAGTATTGTGTGGTGTGTATGTTTCTTCGTCCTGCGCTTGCTTCTATCTCCAATTGCAGTGCGCACTTATATGACAGATAGATATTCTAACTTTTAGTGTAACCATATGTAGAAGCTGTCAATCGTCTACGATTTGATCGCGTACATGGCTGCAACTCTTCGTTGCGCATGTCATATTATTGTGTAACCAGTATCCGTCGGTTCGTAGGTGTGACCCTAAACCCTAAACCCTAGGAACTAGAAGCCGCACGTTCTTATAAGACCATCGAGAGCTCTGCGGTACAAGGAAACCACACCAGCATCATTGTATTATCGCCCCAGTCTTTTTATAGCACACTCCCGTCACTGCCAACCTCGGGACATTCTCTACAAATCTTCGGAACTCATTCGATAACTCACGATGCACAATACATAGCCTGTTAGCCACGAGCTTTGCCGTTTATTTATAGCACACCTCTTACTCCCTACCTACCTCATTGTGTGTATCTCTAGATACATCGCCAGCCCCAGGCCGTCATCTACGAGCACTCTGAGCCCATCCGATGTCTTGCGGTTGACAAAAACCATGACTTGGTGGCTAGTGGGTCGGACAAGATATTCCTGCACACGTGTGTGGGAGATTTGGTAAGTAACCAGAGGCACACGAGCGTACGTAAACCATGTCCCGTATATACGCGATCCTGGGTCAATCAATTGACTGCTTGTACCGCTTGATATGTGGGTCCGCCGCCAGCCTCAGCCAGCCTTATGTGCTCTCGAACACTTGGCTGTTTTGTAGTTAACAAAGCAAGTTGGTGTATGTCTATCCCGTGCTTCGTCTACAACACACATCATCCTGTATACACTCTGTTCATTGACCTAATACGTGCGGTACCATCGCTGACGATACTCGCATGCTACTTGCACGCACCATACACCTTAACCCATGTGTGGGAGTACTGACCCACGGGTATACCATTCTATTTATAGATTCTCTGTTCATTGACCTAGTGCGTGCGGTACCATCGCTGATGATACTCGCATGCTACTTGCACGCACCATACACCTCAACCCATGTGTGGGAGTACTGACCCACAGGTATACCATTATATTTTTAGATCCTCTGTTCATTGACCTAGTGCGTGCGGTACCATCGCTGATGATACTCTCATGCTACTTGCACGCACCATACACCTCAACCCATGTGTGGGAGTACTGACCCACGGGTATACCATTCTATGTATAGATCCGTGTGTTGGAGCATCCGACGTGCGACAAGGTGGTCATGCTTAGAATCACCCCCGACTGTCGTGTGATTGCGTATTACGAAGACCATGGAGGGACTATTGCGGTCTACACAATCAACGGTACGTTTTTTGTACACAATCAACGGTACGTATTTTCCCTGTGGCTATTGCGGTGTACACATTCAACGGTACGGTTTTTCTCTGTGGCTATTGCGGTGCACACAATCAACGGTACGTTTTTTCTCGGATAGTATTGCGGCGGATACAATGAACGGTACGTTTTTGTCTATGTGATCGTAGTAACCACTGGGACGTGGGGACGAGACGGATTGCTGCGCCTTGACCGAGGTGCCATGTGTTTGCTATCTGATCAGTTGATTGTGAATTAATTAGCCATGTTGGCCGGAAAGGTAGATACATGTCGATAATGTATGTCGTCAATGATCTGGTAGAACGTGACTGCTGTGATGCGGATTACTCATTATGTTGTCACAAAGTCTACGTGATGAGTATACTGTCATGCTATTGACGTGATGAGTATACTGTCATGTTATTGACGTGATGAGTATACTGTCATATTATTGACGTGATGAGTATACTGTCATATTATTGACGTGATGAGTATAATGTCATATTATGAACGTGATGAGTATACTGTCATATCATTGACGTGATGCGTATACTGTCATATTATCGATGTGATGAGTATACTGTCATATTATTGACGTGATGAGTATACTGTCATATTATTGACGTGATGAGTATAGTG